ATTACTAAAGGAGTAAGTGCCAGTATTAGAAAATTGCTGAAACACATGTGTGCTTGGTGGATCCCTCCCACTCTTACAAAAGATTTAAATTTTGAATTTTAAATCCATAGAAACTTATTCATGGGTATGGTTTTTGAAAATGAAGGGTCAAAGAGTCTGCTGGTCATGGGAGGGAGGGTCTGGGGGCATCTTCCTCAAATGAGATAATGTGTTTGAGGGATCTGATATGATCCCCTGTTTCTAAGGAACACCCACTCTGTGTTTGACAGAATGATGTCTACACGGAAACCTAGGGGGAAAACATTTGTTTTCATATATATATATATATATACATACACACATGCACATACAAATACATGAGGAAATGTTGGAACTCCCTGCTCTTCCCTTTGGTCTATAACTTAGTTAGTGAGGGTGGGATTCCAGGCCACACCAGGACCAGTACCACTGTATCCTAGAAACAATTCTGTATAGAATTGACATCTTCAATGCAGCACAACACCCCTTTCTTTTTGTTTTTTCACACCTCATTTCCTCAGTACTGTTCATACAAAATGCTAATATCAAAATAGAGAAGAACAACTTAGAAAAGAGAAGAAGGATAAAAAAAAAAAAAAAAAAAAAAAAAAATCATTTATATTTATTTTTGTATGACAAAAGAGTAAACAATCTTCTCTTTTGTCACAGGAGTCAAACCACCTGAGCACCCTAACACATATCTACACTGCACATTCTGAGCTCAGGCCCTGTTGACCTGGAACAAAGAATAAATGCATCACAAACCCTTTTTTCACAAATGCTGCTGTCAGACTCATTGTGTGATAGAAAAAAGCTCACAATTTGATCAATTCAATGAAGATGTCCAAGGTTTCCACATGGGCCTCCAACATTGAAACAATGAAGCGTTGCTAGTTTTAGCAGGAAAAAGAAAAAGAATGTGTTGCAAATGGGCTTCATGTCCAGGGACTGTGGGCAAAGAATGAGGGTGGATTGGGAGGCCAATTTGCAGGTGCCACAGAGTACAATGGATCTGACTGGGCTGCATCTTCTGGCAAAGTCCCATTTGGATGCTCATAGCTTCTGCCAATTGTCCATTCAAAGCACGACAATGCTTGGATTGTTCCAGGCTGGTCTCACGATTATTCAGTTGAGGAAAGTGGGTGGACTAGAACATGAACGCTCTAACTAGAAAACACTGTATTTAATTAATGGGCATCTGTGTTTGTTGTTGAGAGAATGAGAATGAGAGCTTGCAAAAATAGTAGGCTTTGACCCATTGGGGCAACCACCCTGGACCCCAGTTTCAAGTGGCTGAAAATGGATCGTTAGGGTTCTAAGTATCTGATTTGGTTTAGTGCAGTGGCCATCATACAATCAAGCCTTTAAAGAATGCTTTCCAACTCTAAGTAGATACAGCCATATCACAGATTTTGTGCCTACAATCTGCACTGGTACTTACAGTGGCCACTAAATGCAGGAGGGTTTGAAGGAAACACAATCTTTGGTGGAATAGAGTTCTGTGCTCAATGGAGGACAAATATTATATATATATATATATATATATATATATATGTTGTCTCTCTACACTAATCACAGAAAAAAACAGAAGGGAAAAATAGTGAAAATTGTAAAACAAACAAAAAAACAAAAGAAAAGAAAAAGTACTGTAGTTAGAGCAAAACATTGGGTGGAAGAATATCAAAAGCCCAAAAATGGATGTCAAATCTTTCATAAAAAAAAATTAAACAAATGTAACCCAATTTCATGCATATAAAATTAACTCTGCCCCCTGTGATGTGTAGTATTGCCAGTACTAGAAAATTGAATGCACCTTCAATTGATTTGCATGTTTTATAGTAGTTCCAGGATGGGTTATTTGTCATCACTCTGGCAGGGCTCTGCAGATCTTGTCTGACAGTACACTGCAAGAATGCAAAGAAAAAAAGGGCCCCAAGCTTGTGCCAAGCAAGTCATGCTGGGAAACAACCCTCTACAACATCAATGAAGCACTCAGTCAGGTTGAAATCTTCCTGCAAGGTTTTACAATGCTGCATGACTCATCTCACCAGATTAAAATAACAAGTCTAGTTACTGGGAAATGTGGGAGAGGAAGAAAATAATAACAATAATAATATATAAAAATTAAAAATCCACCATAGAGATTCACACCAATGCAGACCAGACTCTGACACACCTATCACACCCTTTGCATCAAATAATTCCTTGCTTCCGAAACCCCAGATGCTAAACCGTCATGGTATTGATGAATGAGGTCAAAAGAGCCCAACAACCTGATACAATACCCATGTACCTTTGTGAGTTGGAATGGAGACCCCAATTTATGAGCTCCCCTCAAAAGGGCAGTAAAAAGGCTTCCCCCTGTGGCAGGTCTGTAAAAAGGCCAAGGATCAAACGAATATGAAGAAGAAGAAAACAGGGAGAAATAGATATGAGCTGTTTTCCAGTAGTACTCCACATTGACAAGGAAGTGTAGTTAAGTGAAGAAAAGGAAATATGTTAACTCCAGTGGTGACTTTGGAGGTAAGGGGGGGACTTTGTGAAGCTAGTCAAACCAGATTTAGGGTTTGCTTCCACAGCCAGAAGTGGGGCAGGTAACATGCTGGATGCCCTGGCATCACATGGCTTCGCCCTTCAGGTTCAGAGTCCCATTCTGAGTGCTGCCCATTGGCTTTCACAGGCTATGAGAATAGAGGAATTTGCCCGGTAATGAAAATTTATCTCCTTCCTTCCTCTCTTCTATTAGGCTCCATTTTGCACATAGCAGCCAGCATGGGCAAGACAAAAGTAATACTGAAGTAGCCCCACTTTCACGTGGTGCTGTTCGTCCCATTGTGCTCACACCTCATTGGCACTCTCCCTGTGAGCTCCATCACCATTCACATGTGGGGTGAAGGGAAAAGTGTAGTTATCCTCAAAACCCACATCATCAATTTGGCATAGTCATCTCCAAATTGTGCCACTTGAGGGATTTTATGTTTAGGGTTTTCTTATTCTTTTGCTTTTCTTCTTAATTCTTCATTCAGGATTGAGTTGCAAAAGTAGTAGCAGAGAGGGGATAGCATAAAAATAAAAATAAAAACAAACAAACAAACAAACAAACAAGAAACATTAAATGTGACTTGGAAGAGGAAGGAAAGTTTTAGCTTTGACCTATACACATTCTATTCCTGGGAAATTTCTCTCAAAAAAGCTAATTATTCTCTTTCATTTTTGAAGAGAAGAGGATAAGAAAGATTAAGAAGTTTTACTTTATGGATGCACGTAAATAATTTTCAACTTGGGTTTTTGGAAGCAAATGAAAAAGAGAAAGGCTAAGTTTGACAGAAGTATGTGAGTCGAGAGTTGCTAGACCCAGCTTGAGTCCTAGCTCTGGTGTTTGTGCACCCACCAATTTGACTGTGTCCATACTAATTTATGACCCCAATTTGTATGTGGGTAGCTCAACAAAGGGAACTTGAGAGGAGGAATAATATTCGTTTTGTTTGGATCACGCAATTACAGAATTAGATGAGAGTGTGGTAGTGGCCTCATTAATGCAGGAGTTAAATGAGGAGCTGGGCGAGTAATGGGAGTGCGGATGAGATTCCCACTCTTAAAAGTGGATTCTCACAATAAAAGTGCCATTCGGAGTTGGATTAACTGCACAAGCTGAATCCACAGACCTCTGCCATCACACGTGAAATCACAGGCTTCGCATAGCAAAAATTACAAAAATACTATACGATCGAAATTTTCACTTTTGGTGAAGGTTGTTTCTTCGTTATAGAAACCCTAAAATATTTGCATTGGGTTAAAAATGTACTCTTACTCGTAAGAATGTACCCATGGGATGAACCTTTGGGGTTGATTTTATTTGCTTCATCTATATCTATATCCAGCTTGACTAACAAAAAAACATGATGGATAAATATGGATTAAACATGATTATCACTAATTATTTTCCTAGGGTCCTTTGACTGTTTTTGTAACTATCCCATTTTTTGCCTTTGCTTTGAATAATTAGGAATGAGTGAAATGCCATGATTGCTTGTGCAAGAGGTCCTTTTGCCAGTAAAAAGAGGATTGCAAATAATACAATGCTAATCACCATAATCAAGCTCGTACTTGGAGGTTAAAAGTCTTTTTTATAGGCGAAGTGTTGCAGATTCTGCTTGCTGGCTGGTCAGCGCGTCACAAAGTTTTCACTCTATCTAGACAATTTATTTCTTTCTTTTAATAAATGTCATACTTATTATAAAATTTGACTTACTCAAAATATGGAAATGGAGGTGGGGCCAGATTTGTGATTTTTGTGTGGAAATTGGATTAATTTTAATTTTGTTTGCTTTGATTCCTAGATGTTCCTTTCAGATCTTCAAAATATATAATTAAATTCCATACCATAAACATATATATATATATATATATATATATATAATCATGTTTATGACTTTGAAACACAGAATTACAAAAAAAATGCATTGCAACAGCCTACACTCATTGCTAGATTATATTCAGGTGCAACTATTTCAATGTGGCCATAATTTAGCTATGCCAAATTGTGCAGCCTGTTCTGAATGGTAAGATTTTTCTGTTCTTTAAATGATTTCATGTAGAGATAGGATTTGACTTGATCCTGATTTAGCGCTTGTGTTGAAAAAAATAAAACAACAACAAAAACAAACATGATTGTGGACAGTTGATTTTTATTTCATTTTTGTCCTTAATGCTAGATAATTTTTCCACCAACAGAGGACATTGTCAATCAGCTGATTTTGGCCTAGCGCTATTTTACACCGAGCCAAGGTTTTGGTACAAATCAAAAATAGCCGAAAAAACATGCTAATTCAAGAGTGGTCAAGAGTGGTCATGCTTGCGATTGGGGACAGAGAGCTAGGAAAAAAGCCATAGTAGATCATGCCAGTTACCAACAGTAGAAAACACACACTGGCTTCAAATGAACACAACGTAGAAGATGAAGGCCAATATTCTGTTGGCGGCGGACAGTCTCCTTACATATATGGACATTGGTGCCAGCCCACTGACACGACTATCTCCTACTTCTCTTGATCGGTAGCTTGTTGGGTAGCTCTCGCACTTGTGAAGTATAGCATTCCTCAGCTCCCCACAATCTCCCCTCCCCACACACACACACACAACCCAAACTACTTCGTTGTTGCAAGACGAGACCAGTGCGGACAGATACAGAGTGTGAGTGTGTGTGTGTGTTTGAGTGCGTGTGTGTGTGAGAGAGGGAAAACTAGCAGTAGTGTTTGAGTTGGTGGAGATCATGGGCAGGCCGCAGAGATACCGCGGGGTGCGACAAAGACACTGGGGATCATGGGTCTCCGAAATTCGTCACCCACTTTTGTATGTGACTCTGTTGCTGCTTCCTCTCCCACTCGGAACTTCTCATGTTGGCTTGCTTGTAGCATTGTGAGTGTGTGGGATTCTGTTAAGTGAGTGACAATTTACTTGCATTGGTTGTGGGGGAGCTCGGGACGCTTGTGAGGATGTTTTTTTTCTTTTTGTCTTCTCTCTCTCTCTCTCTCTCTCTCTCTCTCCGTTTTTTTCATTTTTTGGTCACTCCTTAGCTCTCTTCGAGATTTTCGTTTCTGCAGCACCCTGAATTTATAGCTTGAGGTGATTCGTGAGCAGAGGTGACATGCATTGTGCAATTTGAAAGCTACATTGGCTGTAGGGGACGTTACAAAAACGATGAAAAGGATGTTGAAGCATTTGAAAGGATTTTGAGAACTAGCACGAAGTGGAGTTGTAGACGAAGAATTTAGAGCAGAAGTTGGAGCAGTGGTTGAGAGGGAAAGGAATTTACAGACTCCTGACGAACTGTTTTAGCTGATAGTATTTATTTTGGTTGTGTTTCGCAGAAAGACGAGAGTGTGGCTGGGGACATTCGAGACCGCCGAGGACGCGGCCCATGCGTACGACGAGGCGGCGAGGCTCATGTGCGGTGTGAGAGCGCGCACAAATTTCCCCTACGACCCGAACGCGTCCAAGCGTCCGAACTCTCAGATGCTGTCAGCCACCTTGAGCGCGAAGCTGCACCGGTGGTACTTGCATTCGCAGCAACGCGACGGCCAGGAAGGGAAGTCGAAAGATGCTCGCATGACGCAGTCCCTTACGTGCCTGTGCCTGGACGCGGAGCAATCCAATCTGGGAATATGGCAGAAGAAGACGGGGAGGCAAGCGGAGGCCAACTGGGTGAGAAAAGTGCAATTCGGCGACAATAACTCCCCGCAAACCGACTCGCCACAGCCGGAAAATTCTAGCGAAAGTTGCATGTCGGAAGAGGACAAGTTCGCGGCTGAAATGATCGAGGAACTCCTCGGTTACAGCCCTGGCCAATTCTCCAACTTCGGATCCCCAGCTATGTCTGATTCCAGCTGCAGCAGCTCCTGCTCGGCTGTCACCACAGCTTTCGAGTAGCAGCACTATCTCAACCCCCCCCCCTACATTTTGTTTTTACATCGTTTTCAAGGCATTGTTGATCTGGAAAGGAATGGCGCAGATGCAGGGCTACTGTAGCCCTCGGTCGATCCTCCACACACGATCAGTGCTGACGCTCGGAATGGACCTATGAAGTCACCACGCTCAGTTTTCACGCGCGTCGCTGGAATATTTTGAATTCGCCTCAGAGCTGGAGGTCGTTGTTCACTACATCAGGTTGAGTAGTAATCCTGTAGTAGTTAAAGGAGGCGAAATCCTTTTAATGTAGCTCCCCCCCCCAGACATAATTAGTTAGCAGATCTTTGGATCTGTACGAGGAAGGAGATGACGAATTTAAGCTCTTAGAGTTGCGCTGTACGTTTGGGTGTCGATACAAAGGGAGTCCTCTTGCACGAAGTGGTATGTATTCCTGTGTGCATACGCTTCCTAGTGTTTAGACGTGACTCGGATGTGATGCTGCAGTGTATACATAGATGCTGCATCTGTCCTAATCAAACTCAGAAACTCAGAAACTAACATACCAACCTGTAATGTAGTGACGGAATGTTCTTTTACATATCTCTTCTACGGTGTGTTCAGTGCACGCCAAATTTTGCACGTTACTTTTACTTGTCCTCTTTATGCAATGTCGTGTTGATTTGGTTTGTTTTGTGTTTTGTGCGTTTTATTGTTGATACAAAACACTTAAGTCAATCCAGCTTCAGATAATCACATTGACGTTCTCTCCTAGCCTTCAAATGCTAGATACATTTATCCTTGATCCTTTCCACCATCTGTGCCCCACTGTAATTCATGGAGCACGCAGTAGATTGAACATGTTAGCTATAGTCCCTCTTACGAAAGCAAAACCATACTGCACGTCTCTTGGATATATCCCAATCTAGACAAATCTCTAGCCACTATCGCTACTCTACCGGCTAAATTTGGCGATTGCGGCCGGAGATCTGCAACCTCCCTCACAACCACTAGATCAAAGCTACCGATTCGAAGTTAATCTGAACCCGACCGCGTTCATGGGACGGCCAGTCACAAGCACCTGAGCACCCAACTCCTGCAGAGGTTTACTTAACAACTTGAAAGGGGGGTGGGGGCTTGCGTCGTCACCTCTGTGGCAGATCGAATCCACATGGGATGGATCAGCACGCGGGAGGGAGGGCTATCAAGCGCGACGCAGCAGTAACGCACCATGTCGTCCGCGAGTGGCCCCACCCAGTGGGACGTGGGGAATATGCAAATGGCGTGGCGACAGAACACCACCCATGATTGTGTTAGTGGTTTCTTCAATCTGAAGACGGACTGGACTGGGTTCTCTCTCTCTCGCTGGACTGGGCTGGCTGACTGTCTGTCTGTCTGGCTGGCTGGCCGGCCAGCTATCTATCTTCGCCCACCCTGTTGTTTTGTGGTAGAGTCTTGGTTGGGCCACCATTTGTGCTGCAACTCTGCGTGCCTCCTGGCCATGGTGCCAGGCCTCATGCGCCGGGGCTTTGCCGGTCAATGCCTCCCTCCCTCCCTCATGGATGATGGTGTACCGCAACAACAACCCCACCCTCCCGAGGCAGTTTTAAATTGCAAGGAATTCACTTCCATGGGGTTTACCTCTCGTCCTCATTGTTATTATCCCTCTTGGATTCACCCAAATAGCCTTGACCGAGGTGGGACTGAGAATACACTTCGATTTTGTTTTGCAGTTCCAGATATTGATGGTGTCGAACAGATGACGTGGGTTATGTTGAACTTTGCAGAGTTAGAACCCAAGAGATTCATGGGCTTTGTAATGGTTTGGTAGTATAGAGGCTCAACTGAAATGTTTGTGAGAGTTTAAGAGTGACACTGGATTCTGACAATAGGCTTTAAAGAGATTTAAAAAAGAAAAAGATCAATCGAGATAGATAAAAGAAAAAACCGTCTTACTTCTTGCAACAGTTTTTTTTTTTTTTTTTTTTTTTTTTTGTATTTGTAACTGAACAGATGAAGAGATAAGTCGTTTCAAAGATTTGATGCACACAGAACAACTATGTGCACACTTTCGGACCTCTCTTTCATTGCAACTTCTCTAAAATAATTAAGTATTCTGAAACAAGTAATTTGTACGAGAATACAATATTTAATGCTACTATGTAGTTGTAACTCAATCCAATGCTATAAATGTCTCACAATGTCCTTGAACTGTACCTGTACACTTAAGAATAAAGAATTATATACAATTATTAAGTGTCCCAACCTCATGTTGTAATCAAGTCAATTTGTGAAATTCAACATTATTCTAATATTCTATTTGGCTGATTTCATTAGCTGCAAACATAAATCACGCCAGCTACTTCAAAGTTCCTTGTTTACACCAAAAGAAGTTAGGGGTAAGTGAAATACCCTTCTCATTCATCCTCAAAGCACCCACAGCTTCCATTCCCCAGAAACGAAATCACTCTAGAAGTTAGATCAACAAAACTGCATTTTCTGACTTCAGAAGTGCATAGTGCAGGGCACCGCTTTTACTGACCTTGGGTGGATAAAAGCAAGAGCAACTCTTCTAACAAGAACACAAAAAAAGTAAAAAGTAAAAAATAAGGTAGAAGAAAAGGACCATGTTAAAAATGAAAAAAAACGATTTAAAAAATATTTTAAAATAAAAAAATAAAAAATAGCACAAATCCCACTTCCACAAGCAAATGCCCTACAGTATAGAACATGTATGGATTCACTCTATATCATGGGCGGTGGGAAGCTTCCAGAGCCATTAGGGTCTGCAATGCCTTCAATTGGAAGGCGTTGGGGTTGGCACAGTATTTCTCAGTGTGAGTGACTAAGTTAAGTTAAGTGGCACTAATACTTGGAGCTTAAGCTTCACTCTTTTCAGAAAAAATAAAATAAAATAAAAGTGTACCCTACCCTCTCTTAATCTCTTTTTAATGCAGAGCCTTCAAGCAACAACTTGGAAAACAAGCATGAAAGCAACTCCTTTGTGGGATGTAGATAACGCCACCACATGAACAACCCCAAAGGCACAATCAAAGGCCAATGTGCCAAAATGCAATAAGACACTAAGAAGTGTTTGGGGTATTGACAATCACATTAAAGTACTATTAATGCCTTTCAACTTCTGGCCATTTGTTGTCTTGCATTTCTATGCACATGATTGGTCTTTTTAAAGTTGTTGTTGTTGTTGTTGTTGTTTTTTAATTTTTTTTTTTTTATTATTATAAGTAAACAAAACAAAACAAAACAAATCATGCTGCTCATGGTGGGCTTGGGTTGTTGACGTTTTGCATCTCAGCCCCATTACAAGAGGCCTTCTGGGGAAACGTCATTTCTGAATTCTTGTGAATGCTTTTTTGCAGTCTTCAAAATCCCACTTCCAAGTCTGACTCAGGTCTTCAGTCAAAGGGGATGAAACAAAAATAAATAAAAAAGCTGCAGGATGCAATAGAAGAAGAAGAAGAAGAAGAAGAAGGAAACCAGAAAGGAACAAAACCTGGCAGAAGACAGGAAGACGCTGCCATGAATCTCACAGAAACTTGTAGGACTTCATGGCACTGCCTTTGGGATGAACCCACTCTGCAGCCTCTTCACACATTTCATGTTTTTCTATGTGAAAGAGGGTTGAATTTTTTAATGGGGTATGGTTTTGAACCTGGTGGGTAAGCTTACATCAGTTTCAAATTTCTGACCAGAGTTATAGAATTAAAATGAAATTGTAATAATTTTGGTATTTTGTTTCAGGGGAACGTTAAATAGACCCATGCTTTTACTAAATAGCATGATGAAGTATATGGTAATCACAATGGATGTGGTTGGTTTTTTATTGGTTGCAGGTCTAATAATGGAGAAATGGGTCTGGAAATCAATATTTTGTTTCATGATGATTAGGATGGGTGGGTCCATTTAGTAAAAACTTGGGACTATTTAACATTCCCTTTTTTTTATTTTTATTTTATGAATGTATTGTTGTTATTGTTTTGTTGAATTGCATGTATCAGTAGTTTTAAATGTGGGAAGTTTCCTTTAGTGTGAAGGTTGATTCTGTGAATTTTGATTTTGAATACTCCATTTAAGAATATAGACATTTATGCATTTTTTGTTCAATTAAATATATATATATATATATATATATATATATATACACACACACACACCAAGACACAGATATTAAGACTTGGTTCCTTGGATTGTGAGGATGACCAAAGGGAGAAAATGGCACTTTATCAATGAAATTTTCAATGATAAAAGCTTGAGGCTGAAGCTCTAGAGCCCCAAAGCCCAAGCAATGCAGCTCTCATGCAAGAAACTGTATGGTACAGCTCTTTCATTTTAATGGGAGCACAAAAATAAAATAAAACAAAACAACAACAAACAAATAAGCAGTGAAAGGCCTGTCAACGCACCTGCATACAGGAAGATTATTGATTATTATTAAAAAAGAAAATGGATGAAACTCTTGGCCTGTCACTTCAATTTATTCTTAGCTCAAACTCTGAAACCCATTGTGATAAATCCACCAAAAAACACAAAAACGAAAAAAACAAACAAACAAAGACAAAGAAGAAGAAGAGAAAAAGAATCCCAACCAAGGAGATTTTAAAAGTTGACTACGCATGTTGAAATTATTGAATCTAATGACATTTCGTTGTATTATTTATTTACATCTGTTTTAGTAATTTTCTTTGGAGAGAGACAATTTCAACTTTGAGGACTTGAAGTTTACTCTCTAATGTGCAATGTAGAAAAATCTCAAACATTTATCCCTTCTAACCAAGGATGTTTTAGCAGTGGAAAGAATCAATTTGAGTTGATTGGAATTATATGATTAGGAGTAATCATCATAATGTATTGTGAATGCAAAAGTGTTTGCAAACTTTCATGGATTGAAACAACTGAATACATATGTACATACATTTTTGGAGTATTTTTACATTTATTTTTCTACAGAAAAAGAAGATTATCTACCAATAATAGTAGTAGAATAAAACACATATATGGATCTCTATTCACAACTGCAATGCATCCATCCTTACTAACTTATTTTCATAATATGTATCTCAATCCATGAAGCATATCTTTGGCACTGAAGAGCAAAACATTGTGATAAGAAATTTGTTACAATCTGATTATAAAGTACACGTACAATCTACAAAAAGAAGAAGAATTTTAAGAGGTTTTTTCCTTGTAGAAAATTGCATAAATTGAGAGAATATAGAACCTTCATCATCTACTTGGGTTAAGCTGTGGGGCACACCAAGTGTGTGAAACATCAACAAAACCCCTTCAAGGCCAAATGTTCACAACCCTAGTTTTCCCTTTGGCACAGCCATCTTTTTGGCCTTGTGCACACCCAAGTCACAATGGCTGCCTCTTCTGACTGGTGCTATGGTGCTAAAGGTTCTCAATTCTTAAATTATTAGTTATAAATATGTGTACATATGTAGATAGATATGTACAAACACAGCTTTTGTAGGAAAAGTAAGAAAGGTGATATTCAACGTCCAAAACAAAAGTCATTGTCTCCAGAGCATCATTTCTTCAGGCGCATACAATACAATGCACAATGTCTAGTAATTTTTTGGACTTAACCATCTTTTTCCAGTGTGGATGAGGAAAATCACCCCAATCCCAAAACTGGCTTTGGAACCTGCTCATCCATTATGGAGGTTTGCTATCCAATCGAAAAATGACATTTTAGCTTATTTTTCGATTGGATATCTCGAGATTGTGCAAAGACAATCTCTTCCACAAAATCTTTCGACTAGCTAAACCTTAGTAGTGCTACTTTGGTGATGATTTGAAATGGGCTGCCTCGTTTTGAGGTAGGTTGGGTTTGCTGTATAAACAATGCTTTCTCTGAGATAATAAGATGCATTGGAGTACTGAATTACATGATCATACTGGATCACTGCCGAGCCATGAGATGTTTCCTTAGAATTTATTCTGGTGCAGTTCCCTTCAAAAGAAAAAAGAAGAAAGAAAAAACACTCAATACCAATTCCCACTTTGAACTCGACCTCGTGAATAGGGTTGAGGTGCTGCGGAAATCTCATGCAGAAATAAAATTAATATTAGTTGCGGATTCATATACCCATTTCAGACTAGGCCGAGAGCAAATGCTTCGAGGTCTACCCAAATGTAGACGGCAACTGAAGGAACGACGCCAATCCACAGTACATCGACTCAGAGGGTCCGGAAACGTGGCACTACATTTAGCATTACAAACGGAATCGATGGCTAGCAAAGAATCTTTACATAACAGTCAGTGAGACAGCTGCGAACTGCATGACTAATCTAACTCAACACAAGCCATCAAGAAACGATTGTAAATCGGAAAGCTTCATGATAGGAACCTGTGCCGCCTCTTCAGGGCTGTAGTCGGACTCCAAGAGGGTCAACACTTGTACGTGCGCTTCTAAGATGTTGGACTTGATGGGCTTGAAAAGAATAGACCTGGTCGAAGAGTTCTGCAGATACAAACCCATTCTTGATACAATCCCAGGCAATTGCTTCTTCACAGCTTCTTCAACGTTAGCGACCATTTCAGCTAACTTGTCTGGAGTGGCGAAAGCTTGTTCTTTCAAGGCCTTGGGTACTTCTGCATCCACAGAACGACTACGAGTAGCCACCTTGACTGCTGTTACCTTGGTCATGAAGGAGAGCAACGGCTCGATTGTAGTCTTGGTCACCAACATGATGAATTGCTCACAAGTCAGCTTTAGATTCTTTTCAAGCTCTTTCTTTGCATCAATTTGGTAGTCCATCACTCTCGGTGAAAATGTCCGAGCAAGGGATTGACTGCTCCAAAGAGAGGACTGGCCTCTCAGAACTCGGCGCAGATGATCAAGTAAGTGCGTAAAATCAAGTTCTTTATGTGTCACTGAAAAGTCTATGTCAAAAGGAGCAATCTGCTCACGAAGTATCAAAAGGTGCTTGATGAGGAAAAGCTGTCCATCCATTTGAGTAGCCCGTCTCTCAATCAACTTGCTGGACCTCTGAATTGAAGTCGAGCACATGTTGATTGCATCTTGCGCAAGACCCGTAAAAATTGTTGGTTCTAAACACCGGTAGAGCTTGGACAGACAAGAGAGAGTTTTCTCCAGGGGCGGGTACCAAGTAGAGTAAGAATCTCTACCTTCTTCTTCGCTTCCAGCAGCAGCTGCAGCTGCTTGTTCCAACTTTGCTGGGTAATCAAGATCCTCTGCAGATGGCAAATAATTTGCAATTTCATCACGCATATAGGTTTGTGCACGGAAAGTGAGTCTTTCTTGAACATCAGCTAAGGTCTTCAAAATTGTTGGGTGTAGACCAGCCACAGATTCCCGTCTTCGTCCTAATTGTTCATCCAAGACTTCACCTTTTAATATATCAACGAGCTCACAAAGCAAATCCAGATCTGCTTCATGTATGAAACGAGCTCGTAAGGTGTCATATAGTGTTGTACACAAGGGATCCAACAAAGGAGCAAGGTTTAAGGGATCCGAAGCAGACGCTGGAAAGAAGTGGTCAAACAGCTGATGCTCCAATTGACATACCTGCGGTAGCAATAAAATAAGAAATAAGGATTCATGCTGCATCGAACTAACTCTGGACATCCCCAGGGTGCTGAATATCCCAATTCAAGTAGGAGAACAAGGCATGCATTGACAAACTGTATCTGAACTATCCAAGTAAATACTCTGATCAAGGCAAATGGTCTTTTTCTTATTTTGTTCTTTTCCGGAAAAAATTCCCTCCACCTGGAAATCCAGTGAACTAAAAAGATTTCAAGTACTGCGATAATTTTAATTCAAAGTATCAGCACGAAAAGTTCATATCAGCTTGAACGGAATTTAAACAGAACCTCCCTTGGTGCGCTACTTCTTTGGTGTTCATGAACAACTAAGAAAATGCTGACGAAATTAAGGGGAACGACACCAGTTTCTTCAGAGAATGTATACAATGGAATTTTCATACCTACCTGTGCATATATCTTACGAACATCAGGACATCTTTCTTCTTAAATAACCCTTAAAAAAACGTAGCGAAAGTCACATTTGTAGCACTCTCAACTAATGGCATGCATAACAGATAGAGCACAATAGTTTTCTGCCACAAACCAGAAGCCCTGTGAAACTTAGGATGCATAAACTAAGACACGCAACTACGGAATGTTCCAGGCTCGTCACATGCTGCGAGCCCTAAGAATTTAAGTTACAACTAAGTATCATATACTGCATGCCCTAATATGATATGTATCACATCACTTAAATTTGTGCCGAGTGGTTTATGGGTCATTTGTTTTCACGCAGCGACCTACCTATATCAAATGACAATTTAGGTCTGGGATCAGAGTGAACGTACCTGACTTAAATACGCACAGCCCGATCTTGTCAAGGATGGGAGAGACTCTTTCTTCGCATATTCAGCAATTCGATACGAAACAACACCCTTCACTAGAGCAAGGCGTTGCTCGCAATACAGTGAAGTCAGATCCGCAAGGACCTGAGTATACTCTTTTCGAGACGCTCTGTTCTCAATTTCCTGCATTAAGGTCTTCAGATCACTCGCAGCAGCTTTAAACCTCACATATAGCACCGAAGTCTCTGCACCCTCAGTGATAGCGACTTTCCCACCCCCACCTAAGATAGAATTCTCCTTCACGGCAGTCTGCACCTGAGATGACGCATTCCTCAGCACATTGAGCACATGAGTCCTAATCATACCCAAGGCACGGGACTGCAATTGCTTAAATTTCACAAGATAAACGCTGGAGTCTGCATATTGTGGATTGTTGGTCACATAAGAAATGCATTCATCCAGGCGCTTCAAAAAGGGGAGGAAGTGACTGCTTCCAACACTCATTGTCGGTGCATGAAACTGAGTGGAAATATTTTCCAGCTCGTCAAAGTAATTGAGCTTCGTTCTCAGAGCATCAGCAAACTCAACCAAGCGCTCTTTCTCCATCACCAACCGCTCGCAAGCATCATGAAGCATCTTCGTCTTGGTAGCTACTGCCTGATGCTGCGCTTGCAAATCATCAAACCGTGCTAGAGTTCCATCCAGATGCGCTAGGATCTCGTCACAAGTCTCCAAGTGCCCCGTGAGCGTGTTAACGTATTGACGATACTTCTCTTCCGTCTCTGACTTCATCGCCGACTCCAGATCTGTGAACCATTTGTAAAACTGGTGCTGGCTATTCAGTTCCACCCGCTCACTAAACCCAGCACCTCCCTGAGTGGCATCGCTCACTCTACCCTCTGGATCCGACGCAGTAGCGGGCGGTACCGGAGGACGCTGAGTCGGCTGCGCCGTTGCGGCGACATGAGCCGGCATTGGTCTGTCTGCTGCGCTATGAGCCAGTGCTGCAATAGCCGCTTGCTGTTCCTCCGTCAATGGTGCATTCTGCTCCCACGCCGTCGCAAACTTGTACCCTGACGACACCGCCACGGGCCTCGCGCTCTGCGACATTTGCCCCGCAATTGCGCCTCTCCTCTCCATCGCCGTCGCCATACCTGTCTCCACTTCTTCTTCCACTCAACACTTCCTCTCTCCGCTAACCCTTTCAATAAACCCCTTTCTATCTATCGATCGATCTATCTATCTCGATCCGCAACCTCCGAAGTTGCTTTTACAATCACGAGAAACCCAATCGAAAACACTGCATCCCTAACTCCAACATCATAATCCCCGCTCTCGCATCTCACCACTGTCTTCCAATTTCGACCCTGAGCTTCTCCTCTCCTCTCGCCCACGACGCACCACCATAGCCAGCACGGGGGGTTTCTTCTTCGCTCTACGCACAACCAACAAGCGACTGGTTGGCAACCGGAAGGGGACTCCCTGCGAAAGAGAGGGTCACCGGGAAGTGACCAGTTAATGACCGGGAACCGGAGGCAGCCAGTGGGCATGGCGTGGTATTGGAGGGAATATGGGTCAATGTTCATGTTCACACCGTGTTCCGAAAAATCTGAAGGGGGATGATATATTTTTTTTTTATGTATTTTGTGAAGCTTGATGTTTAGAACGTGTAACACTTAAGTGAAAAAATTGGAACACAAATCAACCCCACGTCCCCCTTTTACAAAGAAAAAGTGCATAGAAATCATTATAATTGTATGTATATAAATATATATATATATATATATATAAGGGAATGTTGAATAGCCCCATGCTTTTAATAAATAGACCCACCTTTGATGAAGAATATGGAAATCATGATGAATGTGGTTGGTTTTTATTGGTTGTAGATCTAATAGTGGAGAAATGAAATCTAGAAATCATTTTTACTTTTCATGATGGTTAGGATTCACTTATGAAATTCACTTAATGAGATCCATTTTTATTTTTTAATAAACATGATTTTTTTAAAAAGATATAGACAATGCAATTCATTTTTTTATTTTATTTTTTCTTTCAAATTTTTAATATAAATTTTAAAATTGAGAAAATTTACATGGAATTTTTTGTTTTGATATTGATATGATTTTTGTAACAAATATTGTGAAAGATATAATGATTTTTAACTTTTATTTTTTTCTTTTACACATTTAAGTACCCTGTTATTGTAAAAGAAACAAGACCATAAACTACAAAATGAAGTTTGTTCAATCCAAGAAAAACAAAAACTAGATTGATGACCAAAGTAGTAAAAGAAAAATACAAAGTACTATGCATTGCTGCACAATTTATGCTGAAAAATCTGGTTGTCTCTTGATTCATTTCTTTTTTTATTGTAAGATTTAGGTCCTACAAAAATTATAATAGAAATGGATGACAAGACTACAAAATTCTTTAAAAGATTTAGTAGTATATTTAACAAAAACGACATTAAATATTTACAATATTTTCAAAAATATATATTATATTATATTAAATTCTAGATAAGAAAAAATAGAGATTCCAAATATTTGAAATTGTTTTTTGATATTATTGTAGAGCATTAAAGGAGTGACTAGAGAATTTTTCAAGTTGTAACTTATTTTAAACCAGTGTTATTACTTCCTCTTTTTCTACCAAAAATTTCTATCAAATGTGTTGGCGATTTTCTTTTTAAATTCAAAGATTGCGTTTTTTTAAAATTTGTGTAATGTACACTGAATTTTATCTCTATTCAATACCTATATTTCTCTATTCATCTAGTAACAATAACTTCAACCACTTAGTATTAATGAATTAATTTTATAGCCTCAACCACTTAGTATGGACGAATTAATTTTATAATTTCACATTAGAAAAGACTTCTAGTACATCTTCAAAAAGTAACATCTTAATTGCCAAAACCAAGGTTTAAAATCTTCTAATAATACAATTCAAAAGTCTATTACCTTCTTTAAAACTTCCATATTCAAACTAATTGTTGATAAAGCAAATTTAATATTCTAATCATCCAATAATAGTTTGAGGGAATTTACATCATGGTGAAGGTTAATATAGTTATTATAATAGGTCCAAAGACCACAATATAAATATATATATATATATATATATATATATATATACTAAAAGTCTTTGGAATTCATAAATAAAATAAGATGAAATATTACATATTATAAATATAGGAATAACTTTTAAAAGAAAAAACCAAAGAATCTATTAATTTTACAATACATATATATATATATATATATATATATATATATATATATACATATATTTAAGTATTGGATGACTCATTCTTCCTTTCATATATATAATTTAGTGGAAAAAATACTAAATATATTCTTAATAGAACATTTTAAAGGCTAAACTTGATACCTCAATCATAAATACATAAATTTATCAAAAAAAAAGAAAAGAAAAGAAAAGAAAAGAAAATATTAGATCAAAATAAAACAACTAATTAGTTATTTCTATTACACAAGAAAAATCTAGTTGAAAAAAATAATATGATATAAAAAAGTATTTAATGAGATCAAAGATAATATTAAATTTATGTACAAACATAGAAGTTTTGAGAACACTTGTAAGAATAGATACTCAATGATTGAGCTGCTAGAGAAGACTTCATATAACACCTTAGTTTTATTAAACACTTTGGCTATTCTTAGCACACCTTAAAATTCGAAAATAATTTCAATTTATAGACTTTCAAAAAGAAGCTTCTTTAATCTAATTATAACAGTATAAAAAAATAATTTTATATTTTTTTTATAAATAAAAATATGATTTTGTATCAACAACAATATTGATAATTAGCAAAATATTCTAAAACAAGTCTTTAACACGAACTTGGATCATAAGTTGAAGAGGTTATAAAATATGTTAAATAATACTTCCATTAATCTCTATAGTTTTGATTGTAAAATAATATTTTATAGGTTATTTCAGCCATTAATAATATTTTGTAACATGTTAAAAACTATCTTTTTTAAAAAATATTTTTTATTATCCTTGAATATACTATTTAAAATAATATAAGGTACAATGATAAATCTTACTAATTTTTTCAAATACAAAATAATTTTTTAAAGAAATTGTGAGTTATTAGGATCTTCATATCAACCTTGTTATCATGAAGGTAATAGCAGTTTAATTAGTTACAATTGTCAATAATAGCATATTCTTTACACAGCTTTAAAAGAAAACTTAAAGAACAAGGTATTGTTTAGTTGAACTTGTTAATTCTATCTTACAAGTTAAAAGATTATTCCTTTTCAATCACTGTTTTGTCTTAAGCTAATAAAATAGATTCAAATATATCAATCAAAATTATTTATTATACAATATTTAATAGAATTTAGTATTTTTATATATTTTTTATTAATATCTAGATAAAACTATTATTATTAGAATACAATTAATTTTTATGCAAATTCCGTATATTTATGTTTAAAAAACCGGTAAAAATAAATAGAATGTCTACTTATTTAATAAGTATCTAATAATATCTATAAATATTTCACTATTATTTTATTATTTTTTATTGTAAACTATTAATATTTAAAATATAAATCAAAAGAAGGTATACCATGTATATATAAAACTTAAATAAAAATATACATATATGTTTTATTTTTTATTTTAAAATCTATGTGTAATGCAAAAAGTCAAACCAAAATAATAATGATAAATTAACATGATTGATAAGAGCTTAAAATATAACTTGATGTGAAAATTTTGAACTTCTTCTAAGATATATTCAAATATATACATAAATGTCTTAAAATTAGTTTTTCATAGAGAAAAATATATTAATATAGAATAATAGTTTTGCATTCAAAAAATACTTTTAAGAAAAAAAATCAACCAATTTATTCCTAAAGCAAATCAATATAAAAATAATTATTAAAATTTATCTTTTATTATATTCTAATATAATTCTTTAAAAAGGGTTACAATAAATTTCAGTATTTTATCGTAAAAAAATTTAATGTACATTAATAAATTTGAAAGAACTAAAATATATGATGATTTATTCTAAACAAAAAATCAAAAAAATGTTTTTCAGGAGATGTTAAAAAAATAATATAAAATTGTAAAAGAATAATTAATGTGAGATTAAATTTTGAAAATTGCATTTGTTTTATTATAAAAGCCTCTATTTATTGCTTTTTTAAAATATATTAAATTAGTCCCGACTAAAGGATTATTCTTAGCATATTTGGTAGTAAAATTAAAATATATATATATATATATATATATATATATATTATTAATATTATTATTTACTATTATTTTATTTTAAACTAAATAATTCATGTATATTTAGAAAATATTTTACTTTTCTTTCAACTTATAATTACTTAATTCTCTTGAGTTTGATTTAAAATACATAAATAAATATAGAAATAATATATTACTGTGATAATTATTATATCTTGGGTCTTCCAAAAAGACTATGTCATACAATTTATTTTTTAAATATACATCAATTAATATTAATTAATAAATATAAGGTACCTTTAAATACAATCATATTGTGGTGAATGTATAGTATCACTTCTAAAGAGCTTTTTGTTTTTAATGACTATGTCTTCAAAAATATATATTCTAATTTATTTAGCTAAATTTAATGGTATATCTATGTTTTTTGCTAGTTAATGTGTAAGAGTATGAATGGTTTGTTTGATGTTATTTGAATGTTGAATATAAGATAAAATTTAAGATTTTTTTTAAAATTTATAATTATTTAAATAATTCAATGTTTTATAGTGGTTGAAAATAAAGACGACATTGAATATAGGGAATGGTAATTTTCGATAATTTTGACCCTTGCAACAATGAAGATTTTATATGATGGGTAGGTTTTAATAATAAATTAGTAGGAATTTCATATTTGAAAAGGATTATGAAGCAGGAAGAACAGATTAATGGATAAGGGTGTAATAAAATGAAAAAAATAAAAATAAAATTAATAATTACAAGTACAAGAATAAGATGAATGGAAAGAGATTAAGGTTGAAATATAGAAAGCATTTAATTAACCAAGAAATATTTTTTAAAAGGTGGAAAAGAGAAATAAACATAAATGGTCGATGTTTGA